TGCTTTACCACTGAGCTACATCCCCAGGCCTTTTTATTTTTTATTTTGAGACAGGGTCTCATTATGTTGCTGAGGTTCTTACTGGGTTGCTAAGGCTGCCTCAATCTTGCAATCCTCCTGCCTCAGCCTCCTGAGTCACTGGGATTATAGGCATGCACCACTGTCCCAGCTTATTATTTAAGATTTTTTTTTTTTTTGTTAACCTCAAGTTGTCACAGACAAGGTTTAGCCATATATAACCAAATAAAGGACTGCCTTCTAGCTGAGTTTTAAAGGTGAACAGAAAGTAATTTTTATGGAACTACAAAACTGGAAGAAATAACAATGTGGTAATAACAATGGCACAATTGCCTGAAGGTTTACTATGTGCCAAGCAGCACTATGCTAAACATTTTGCATATATTATGTCATTTAATACTCCTAACCAAAGTATGAGATAGTACTATCAATATGCTCATTTTCCACCTGGGGAGACCAAGGCCAAGAGGCATGAGGTTCTTTGCCAATGTCACACATTCCTAAGTGGCAGGACCAGGCCTGACTGATCTCAAAGCCCATTGGCCTCCTCACTCTACTGTATCTCTAGCAAGAGGCAATGCTATCTAGACTTCATCAGGACTCACTGTTAGGGTCTGTAAACAAGTCAAGATGGCGCCTGGCATTTTGCCAGAGGGAGTGGTTTGTAAAGTAATGCCAGCGAGCCTTTAAGTGTGGAGATTTCTTATTGGTTGACTGCTGTATCTAGTTTATGTTAATTAAGTTAAGCTGTGTGAAATGAATATATACCCCTCCTGTCCTACAATAAATGGCTCCCACTCCTGCTGTATCAATGCACACAAGTTGTTTGTAACCCCCCGGTTAGTTTGCTGCAGCTGGACTGCGGCAACTCACAAGGACGGACAGAACCCGATGGGTGACAATGAGTTGAAGGAAATCATGGAGGGATAGTTCTGTGCTTTGTTGGAATTAAGAGCAAGACCCTCTCATAGCCAGTGATTTGGGAAGGCAGATTCCCTGGAGACCTGCACAGGATTCCATGTCCAAAGATCTCTCGGTGATTTTGACTACTGAAGAAAGGAAAACGCTAAAAAAATGAAGTACAGCCAATAAAATTGCAAACTATTCTATTGATAAAGGAAAATTAATTTGAGCAATTCAACTCAACTTGGGTTTGTTTAGTACAGTGTCAATGGAAGTCGGTGAGCAGTACAGGGCACTTTCTAATGCACCAGATTTTAGAAGGATGCATAGGATTGAAAAAGGGCTTGTGTAATCCAGGATAAAAAGTCTGGCTAGAACTGGTGGGTATAATGCTGCAAAGAGGCTGAATGTGAAAAATAACAACAAAAAGTACTCTAAAGATGGTAAAATAGTCCTTTAAAGCTGTTTCTTTTGGATTGAGCATAAGGAAAAGTATAGGCCCAGGCTTGTGGCAGATGGTATCATGTTAGACGATGAGAAAAGGCAGAATTTTCACTTCTCAGCTTTTCTGTTTTCTCTGTCAAAGAAAATGGTTCTTAATCTAGAAACATTAAACAAATATCTAGAAGAAGGAATTGAATCTGGATAGATGATGAAACCGGAGACCTGTGAATTTGGGTCCCCAAGCCCAGGTAAATGGTGGTTCATGTAGACAAGTGTCTAGATGTAGTATTGTTCAATTAGAATTTTCTGGATAAAACAAGTTTAGCTCCTGCTATGGAAATAAATTACAGATGTAGCCTAAGATTTTCAAACTTATAGAGAATCCCAAAACCAAAAGACTAGAGATAAGTACATTTTCCACTTTTCATGTCAAAAAAATTGAACTCTGTTCCTTATCAAAATTCTAGAAAAGATCATTAAAGAAATTTGTGAGGCTTTAGAAAAAATTTAGAGATTATTTGGAACCATGGTAATTTACAGAGAAGCTGTGAGAAGCAAATGTCATTTCATTTTCTATGTAGAATTTTTTTAAAAAATGAAGGTATTCCCAATAAATAAATAAATGAATAAAATGAAGGTCCATCAACAACTAAAATACACACACACACACACACACACACACACACACACACACATACACACGTTTAAAAGATATATCCTGCAAAATTAGAAGGAAAATTATGTGGGCTATCCTCAAATGACAAAATAATAATCCAGAGGTACCAGCTATGAAACAAAGCCAACTTCAGTGAATTGTGAAACCTGTGTTCAAATAACTGAAGGTCTTTCATGTAAAATATGTAGTTATGTGTCTGTACAGTTCTCCAAATGGAAAAACTGGTATCAGTAACTAGGAGCCAACCCATTAAAGGCCAGTGGAAGGAAGCTTTCAGTACTCACCTACATAGTCATGCAGTGAGCTCCCTGAATAGCCTGGAACTCCTTCGTTATACGGAGAACCATAGTAGACAATGAAGTGATCACCTTCCAGGAAGTGGGTAGAAGGAAATAGATATCGGCTCCATGGCTGGACCACCTGAACCTGAGGGTTTTACTATGTGCATTTTATGATTGAATAATTTCTGTTGCCATTTATTGAGCTTATTGTACATGCCAGGAATGGGTCAAGGGCTTTGTGTGCATAATCCTGCTGCAGCTTCACAAACTGAGACTCAGGGAGGCTATAATAATTACTCAAGTCCACACAGTGGTAGGTAGGAGAATAAAAGTTTGACCCCACATCTGAGTCTAAAAGTATATGCTCTTAACTTTTAGGTTATATATGATCTCTGCTTTGTGCACTTCATTCTTTGATTGACACTGCCCTTGAATGCCCTGTTCTCCACCTTCTTCTTTCTCTGGTAAATTCTTACTCATTTAGACTGAGCCTACTGGCTATGTCCTCTCTGAAGCCTTCTCTCACTTCTTCCATACAAGACACCACTTCCCTCTGTGTTCCCATAGCAAGGAGCAGGTGACATCTACTTGGATATGTAGTGTTAGTTTTCTCCATGAACTGAAAGCTCTCCATTTTCCAAAGAGCTGGATCCAATATTTATTCATTCTTATCTCTAAGCACCACAATTATTGCCCAGGAGATATTGGTATTCAGTATGTGTCTAATTTTGTTCATTCACTCAAGATACTTAAGAAAGAATAACATCGTATTTCCCTCCCTCCTCTCTCTTTCTCCCCTTCAATCCTTCCTGGATAAAGCTCCACACAGCATTCTTTTACTCCACCACCTTCAGTGTACCTTGGTGTACTATAGACCACCATAAAACTGTCTTACCCTCCCCAATCCACATCTCCACCATCTTCTTTCCTTTCCCTCTTGTCTTTCCCCATGCTGTTCCCTCTTCTTGAAAATGTTCTCTTCCATCCTCATTATTTCCTCCCCAAAGTAATGCCAGTTGATACCCCAGCTCATCCCCTGACTAGGATGGCCCTGCCTATATGTTGTGACTGTTTCCTAATATTCTACTTTATTCTAGTTCTTTGAGGTCATCTGATCCAAAAGATTGTCTAACAAGTATTTTTTGGTTGGCATTATGCCTTAGTGGCTCCAAACTTCTTGTGACATGTAGCATATCACTGAATCCCCAGTCCTCAAGACAGAACCTGACATATAGAAGATACCTGACAAACAGGTGTAGATGGATGGAGGGGTGGGTGGATGGATGGATGGATGGATGGATGGATGGATGGACAGATCAGAAATCAAGTTTTGAATCCTAGCTCCAGTTTGTCCATAAAATGAATATTTTGGGGCTTTGCATATGGCATATAAAATCTCTTGGGGCCCCAGTGTCCTTATCAGTAAGAATGTGGTCAAAAAGATAAGGAGAAAAGAGAACTATTTTTCATGAATTGCTTGCTGGGGGCAGGGCAGTGTGCTAGGGGCACATGACTTCGGGGGATGGAGTCAGGGACATACATAGCAGTGAAAAGCCTGAGCTTAGGTTAAGATTCATTGGTGTACAAGACCTAGCTCTGTCACCTACTGACTATGAACTTGGGCAACTCGCCTGAGTCGTCTGAATCTCTGTTTCTTTGGCTATCCAAACGGTGATGCTGAGAGTCTCCACTGCTGAGTTCATCATGAGGGTTGAATGAGATGCTGGCAGTAAGGTGGCCATTCTCGCTACAGGATAAATAGCAGCTCATTATTATTAAATTGCACGTGCATCTTATTATTCCAGTTTAGCTAAGGGAGAAGCAGAGGCTCCAAGATGTGAAACAACACGCCCAAACCCTCCATCTGCATTGTTTTCCCCTCAGCCGATGGGACCCTCCATTATAAATCCTAGAATAGCCATGAGTTTTGCCACACAGTGTGTGTCGTCATTTCAGGGAGCAAGATTAAAAAGCTACTTCTCAACCCTGGTCCGCTTCTAACACTGCAATATCTCAAGATTTAGTATCCAACATTGAGAGTCTAAGAAGCAATGCTAACCTAATTATTCTTCTGTTGAAGGAAGGTCATAGGTCATAGCCTAAGTGGCCAGAATGTATGGATCTAATTTTCTCCATATAAGAATCAAAATTAATATTTTTTTCATCATTAGCTTTTCTTCGGACAAAAAAAAAAATCAAAATGCCAATCACCACTCCAACAATCAACCGTGATGTGAGTTTCCCTGCCTCGTGAAGGGAGCCACACACCACCTGGGCACTCAGAAGGCAGCTGATTTGGGGGAAGAAGAGAAGAGGAGACAGCAACCGGCACTAGGGGTCTCTAGTGGAGGTGTGATGCACACACATACATCAGTTTTAGGGAGTACGGGAGAGTAGGCAGGAGAAGTGTCCTTTGCGGTAAGACCTTATCAAGAACATGACCTTGGAAGCTGAAGTGGCATGCCCTAGATGTTCAAGACAACCTCCCCCCAGAGCCTGCCCTAGTGGGTTTTATTTGTTATGCCCATGACCTCGAGGCATCAACAGGGTGCCAGGGAGCTTGCTACCTGCAGAGCCCTTCTTGCTACAAACATGGCCCACTAAAGTGGCTCCAAAGCAGTTTGCTCATGGGGAGAGAAACGCCAATCTAACCCATTTGCCATTGATTTCTTAAGCAGATTCAGGGACACAGGATGAAGCACAGCTTTTGCAGGAATGGTTTAAGCTGGTTCTGGAGAAGAATAAATTAATGCGATATGAGTCGGAGCTGCTGATCATGTAAGTAAGGCAACATTGATAACAGAGAGTCCGAAAAGCAGAGGGCTGGGGGGTGGCTCACCCTCCTCGGTGGAAGTCCCGGGATTTTTTCCTCTTTGTGCATAAAGAGTAGTGATTGAGGCAAATTGATATTTTATGTCTTGCATATCATGCTGGCATTAGTGTAAAGAATCTTCTGTGGTCTGTTCTCCCTGTGGCGTCCTATGGCTGAAATAGATTTCTTCCTCCAGTAAGGAGCTGGAGGCCATTCCCTCCATCCCTGTCGCCCATGCCTCGGTTAAAAGAGCTGTCACACACCTGTGCTGGAGCACCGCAAGTGGCATAGGAGCTTTCATCTGTGCCATCTGGTTTCATTTTTACTTCTACCCTGAGAGGTCACCAGGGGGACTTTTTGGGGGGGCCTAATAAACACTACCACTCTTCCCTGCCTGAGTTCTGAACCAGGTGAGAAATAAACAATAGAGTCAATGGATGGAACATCAACATATCACCTTCTATCAATGGCTAGTGTGGCCAAGTATGAGAGCCCAGATGAGTTTATTTTAGGGCCACAGTAGTAAATTCTCACAAAGCAGAGGGCTGACAACAATAGAAACTTATTTTCTCACAGTTCTGGAAGCCAGAAGTCCAAATGGAGGCATTGATGGGGCCATGTTCCCTCCAAAGCCTCCAGGAGAGAACTCTTCCTTGCCTTTTTCACCTCTTGCAGCTCCAGGCATTCCTAGCCTGTGGCTACACCTCCACACTATCTGTTTCTGTCTTTACAAGGCCTTCTTGGTGTGTCTGGGTCTTCTCTTCAGCCTCTTGTAAGAAGACTTGTTCTTGGGTTTGGGACTCACTGGGATAATCCAGAGGGTACTCATTTTAAGTACATCTGCAAAGACCGTGTGTCACACAAGTGCACATTCAGAGCTTCCAGGGTTCAGGATATGAATACATCTTTGCGTGGGGGGGGGTCCCCCATTCAACCCATTATACAAACCAAACCCCAGCATTAGACATATTTATCTACCTGATCAAAAAAGGCAGTGGACTTGTTTACTCCTTAGGGAGAAAGCTTTTATCCTTGACCCTGGGATCTCAACCCGGGGTGATATAGCTCCAGAGGCAATGTCTAGACACATTTTTTGGTTGTCACTGCTGGGGGTTGTTACTGATACCGTGTGAGTAGAAGACAAGGATGCTAAACACCCCACAAGGCACAAGACAGCCTATCCCCCTACCAATAAAGAATTATCCATCCTACAATGTCAATAGTGTCAAGGTGGAGAAAGTTGCAAGGCTCAGAGAAACTGAGAACCCATGTTTGCTGAACAGGCTGAGCTTAAAAGAGAACTGAGAACCCTCAATTCTTCTTTCTCTATAGTCTCTAGGGATTACATGACTTCCACTAGGATCTGTTAGCATTGCCACATCTGTCTGGGTCCTCAATTTTCCTGAGAGCTCTAGAGCAGCCTCTCTCATATGTAGGGACCTTCACAACCACTCTGCTATCAGTAGGGTGATCCCAGGCACTGAAAAATCCCAACTGGCTTCACCAAGACACCGCTTCTGGGTTTTGCTGTTGTTGCAGTGGAGAGACTGAGTTCCCAGCACTCTAGCATGGCCACTCCAAAGTCTCGCTGACTCTTCTTTAGCTGCCTAAGTTTGATCTCCTCCACCTGGACCCAATATCTCACTGCTTACTTCTTTTGGTTTGCTTGTTGACCACAGTCAGAGACTTGAAAGTTGTTGGAGGTGATTCTTGAAACCATATTACACCCAAAGAAGACAAAGAGTTCCCAATAGTCATCGCTCCTCCCCTGGACTCTTCTAGGCACTGTTTCACTGTTCTGTCTCCTGTCCTTCCTACAGGGTGGACTGATGGCCTTCCAAGAGCATCCTGAGAATATATCACAACTTTCAGCTACTCCCTGTGTCTCTTGGGTCCAGCATATCTCTAAACCCTTCTGAACACCTCTGGTGATCCCAGCAGCAGCCAGAATTCCAATTCTGAGATATTCAAAGACCCCCATTTTAATCAGGTTAATTGTAGTAGCTGTTGTCAACGAGTGTTTTAGTCAGTGTTTCTACACAAATTCCCTGCCTTTACTACCTGAACATTTTTTTTCATACCTACCCAGGGCCCAAGAACTGGAATTAGAAGATCACCAAAGCAGACTGGAGCAGAAACTAAGAGAGAAAATGTTCAAGGAGGGTGAGTATGGTGATATGTTTTGGGCCCTGATTAAAGACATTTTGTCCCTTGAAGGACATCAAGTACACCAAGAACACTTCAATCCCCAGAGTAGAGTGCTTTCCCTGTCCTGCACGACCATGCAGCCTGAGAGGCAGAGGAGAGTGTAAAGCCAGCCCCACCTTGTGTCCACCCCACACCCCCCAGAGCAAGTCCCCATTGGGCTTCATCCAGCTAGGCTGAGAAGGAGGCATTTCCCCATGCCACATGCCTATAGGAACAAAGTCATTCATTCACCTCTTTGTTCACGTGTCCACCCACCCACTTAGCAAACATGTACTGAGAACCTTGTGTGGACCTGGCACATGGTGAGAGCAACCCCCATACTCTAGGAGTTTGTGAGCTCACTGGGGAGGCCAATGTCCAGACCAGTCACTACAGTGCAGGATAACGCAGAAGGAGCCACAGCAGGTGCTTTGGGAGCACAGAGGAAGGTGGGTCTTGTCCTGCCAGGCTAAGGCATTAGCATGGGCCAGGCTAAGGCATTGCCTGTGAGGAAACCATTCTACCCTGAAGGAGGGGGAGTTGAAATAAACTCAATTGACATGATACACTGCAAGGGCTCAGATATGTCCAAGACAAGCCTCAGCTGAGAGGAATTATTTTATTTTTCTATGTTGTTTCTTAAATAAGGAATATCAACACATGAAATACTAAGTCAACATGCCAGAGTGAATCTGACTTATACATCTGCTAAAATTTTTTGATTTTTCTGTTTCAGGCTAGTAAAACAAATACTGCCAAAGGCTCATTAGCCACCTTTGATACCTTTTTCTTTATCTTACTAAGAAATGAAGGTCAGAGGGGGCTGGGGTTGTGGCTCAGTTGGCAGAGCGCTCACCTAGCACATGTGAGGTACTAGGTTCAATCCTCAGCACCACATAAAAATCAATAAAATAAAGGCATTGTGTCCAACTATAACTAAAAAAAATTTTTTTAAAAAGAAAAGAAATGAAGGTCATAATCCCCACGACTCAGGAGGAGAAGCAAGAGGATGGCAAATCTGAGCCAGCCTCAGAAACTTAGTGAGACCCTCCCTCAAAATAAAACATTTTAAAAAAGAAGTGAAATTCAGGCATTTTCTCACTCCTCTGATATTTAGTTATACCCCCCAAAAAGTAGACTCTTGATTTTGTCCATAGCTGACTCATCTTCCACAAAAGAAATGAAATGAGAGCTCTTATCCCTCTCTGATAAACTAGGTCTGATGCAGTCTTTAAACGATCCTTGTAGGAAATGCTCAGTCTCTCTGGGACGAAATGCCAAGTCTGCCCATGGCTTCCCCTTCCTCCTGGGTTTCTCTGCAGGGTCAGTGCTGTCATTAAGGGAGAGGCAGCTTTGTGCCCTGGTGTCATAAGCATCTGTGTGGGGTGCTCTAAGTCCTCACAGAGCTGTGTCCTGTCATCAGGTGCCACTCTCTTGCTGGCACTTGCAGTTAAGCTATAGGGGTGTTGTCACTCACAGCCTGGCCATTCTCTGGGTATGCTCTGGAATTTGGTGGCGATCCCTGGCTCACTGGGCCTCACCTGGGCATATCCTCCATCCAGTGTGGTCAGACAGCCTCCCATAGTCTCTATTGTCAAGTCACTTTTCTCTCTGCTGGGGGAACCTGTGGCAGACACACTGGCCAGCTACCTTGGGCCACTTTAGGGGACGCAGTTGCTTCTCTGCTCCACCACTCCGCTTACACCACACATAGCAGGTGGAGATCTGGGAGCCACACTCAGACACTTCCTGTGCCCTGTGTTTATCCACAGTGGCACCTCCTGAGCAGAGTGGACCGAGGGGCAGGACAAGAGTCCTTCCACCCCAGTGTTCCAGCAAAAGACATTCCCTGCCCCCCGTGGGGCTTCCAGGTCCCAGAATGGAGAGATGGGGACACAGAGCTCTCACCTTCTGCCCTTTCTGTCTCTTCTCCTTCCCATAGAACATGAGGCACAAGGGAATACTACTTCTCTACTTCCCTCTCATTGCATCTGCCTGCTCCCTGACCCAGCACTAAGCCCCATGAGAGACAGTGGCACTTTCTCTACCTGGGATGGGACGCCTCCTCGTCCTGAGTGCATAAGTGGGAAGGGCTGAAGGAATTTAGAAAGGCTTCTCCCTTGGCAATAATCTAGTTGGCAAGTTTTAAATCTGGCTTTAAAATCCTCTGTTGAGTGTCAGAAAGTCATTACCACCTGCTTCTTAACTTGCTCTCTTCTCTAACAATCCTATCTCCCCTGGGGATTGGATGCTTCGTGCCAATTAGGGACAAGGTTGTCACTCGGAAAGGCTGCAGGAGAGAGCAGAGTCCATCTGGAAACCTGATCCTAGGACAGTCAGGACAGTCAAATCTTACTTGGCTTCTGTGTGGTGTCTGCTCAAAAGGCTGCAACTTGTCATTAAGTGCAAAGGACAAAAGGATTGTCATCTCTGAAAGAAACAGCAGACACTGACACACACTGTTCATGAAGAGACTTCTCTCACAGATCTCCTTGCTGTGGCTCAGATATGTTTATGAAAAGCAGACCTGTCATTGTTTTGTTGGTCTCTTTTTTAGGCAGGAGAGGAAGTTTGGGGACTTGATGGGGCAAGGCACATTAACTGCTTTTTTTTTTCACAAAAGGGCCACGAACATACCCTCAAGATGAAATCTGAGCTGGCTACATTGCACAAAGCACCGGTCTTTCTAATCTGTGGCTTTAAGGGCAGTTTTTTGGTATTAAATTTGTTTCCTTGTTTTCTCCATCATTGAAATGAAAAGGGTAGAACAAGTCTATAACAATCGAGAATGTTCATGCCAAGAGCTCTCCAGAGTCCAATCTTACCTGAGGCCTGACGGTTTTCTTTTTTTCTGCAGAGAGCCAGAAAGATGAGAATGATCGCAATGAGGAACAAAAAATACTCACCGAGATGATGCAAGTGATTGAGCAAAGGGACAAACTCGTGGACTCCTTAGAGGAACAGCGTGTCAAAGAGAAGGCGGAAGACCAGCACTTTGAAAGCTTCATCTCCTCCAGGGGCTGTCTGCTGAGCAGGACATGAGGCACCGAACCTCTCCCTAAAGCCAGCCCAGACCACCACACTTTCTCATCCTGGATTCAAAGTTAAACTCTACTACGGTTTTTTTTTTCTTTTAATTAAAATTCTCTCATATGAACTACAGCTTCCCAAGGCTTTTCCAGAGACGATAATGGAAAACAAAACAAAATAGACTTTTGAAACTGGCAGTCAACGTCAGCCAGGCTCTGATTGGAGGTATTCTTGGCGGATGACCAGTATTGTTTTCCCTAAAAAGTGACACAAAGACCTGAGTTTCTAGCTGCTTTTATCATTTTTCTCCCAATTCATTGAGTTACATGTTTTAAGACTTTTAAGAAGCTGCCCTTCATTAATACGTCCATATTTGCCCTTTCTTGCATGGATGACCGGTTTCCAAATGTCAGAAAGAAGCAGCAGCAGTTTAAAGATTAGGTTAATATTTAAATTGTGTTTCCAGAGAAGGAGAAGAAACCTTGAGATTACTGATTACAAAAAGCAAATAACTCATATAGCAGGTGTTAATTCAATCCAGGGCGAATTTAATTTACCAGGTATATTTATAAGCCTTAATATAATATACATAAGCAATGAGAGTTTAATAGAACATTTGAGCTTTAATTTTATTTTTTTATAAAAGGAAATAGAACTTTAACTTCATGCCAGCAGGATTGTTAGTTTTCACCAAATCCTGTTGGCTTAGGAAAGCTTTTCGTTCCCCCAGTCCTCTCTGCTCATGGCCCCTGGGACATAATGATAAGCACTTTTAGGAAATGGGTGATTTTTGAAGTGCCTTTTAAATAAGGATTGGTAATGGCAAACAGGAGAACCCGTTTGCTTATAAAACATGGGTGAAGTTGGTACTGCTACTAAATATATACTAGTAGTGGTAGCAGGATAGGCATACTTCTCAATGGGGGCTGTCTTGGGCCCAAACAGTGGAGTGTTTCTGATTCTCTCAGGGATTGCCCAAGAGCTCTTCCAGATACTTCCAGGTAGAGCTGAGGGCAGTGACTTCATTTATCCAATCCCAAATTGGGTCACGGATATATATATATATATATATATATATATAACATTTTCAATATGCAAAAAAAGCTGGTAGGTGGTTTATGCACCACCATGCTGGGATTCCTGGAGCATTTTGACAGTACATATGGGAACCAAAGAAGAGGAGGTTTAAAATGGTAATGTGTCATGAGATATTTGGTTGTTTTCCCCTCAATGGAACTCTTTCAAGATTTAGACTGTTATTGACAAGACAGAGTCTGAGAAACTGTTATATTTCTAGCCACTGGCTTCTGGAGTGTTTAAGGTGTCACTAGACGCAAGGTGCTTTGCAATAGTTGGCTCTGACTCGAGACCAGATTCTTCTCAACATAAGCTGACCCTCGAACCACTTCTGTCTGAGTTGCTGTCTGTGCATACCAATCTGGCCAGCTGACAACCATAAATGAAATGTGTACAGACTTCCTGAGTCATCCAACATTTTGGGTGGTATTTAAATGCAATTTTTCCATGATATACCAAATTCCAAATGCTGTAGTTCTTTCTTCTTCTTTCCTTCCTTTCTTTTTCTATTTTCTTTTTTTCTTTCTTTTCTTTTCTTTTTCTTTTTTTTTTTTTAAGAATCAGGTCTTCTAGTGTATTGGATTCTATCATTAGGAAATATGTGGAGGTATCTTTCTATACTATTCCTATCAAAACTATATTACCTCTGGCTATTTATCTATTGTATTTATTTATATATTTAGTTAAAACATAATATAACTTCATAATTATGGTTTTCTTGTGTTATAATTTGGAGAAGACCTATTAGTATATAAGCTACTTAATATACAAATAACCCAGATATTTGGGGCAATGAGTTATATAGTATTAAAGGCATGAGGAGATCATCACAATAATATTTTCAACCATTAGGCATTTAGAGATAAGAATATGGATGCACAGGAATGTTTACTCATTTTAAGAAAAATACTTTCTGTTTTCATTCTAGAATGTGCAGAAATACTCAAATACCGTATTTTCTGCCAGTTAGATGAAAAATGTACAATTTGATGCTTGCATACATGTAACAGAGAACACCCAAATGTGTTGTTATGCAAAAGAATTAAGTATTTTAATTTGCTATAGTTCCATCTTAAAGCAAGATTCTCCCAAGAGGGCTAGGAAAGGTGGTTCCTGGTCCAATCATGGAAACACAAGTTGTTCACTTTTTTCCACAGACTCCCACGTTCTGTGATTTATGGCTTAATCTTATCTGGCCCAGTTTAAAACACAAAACTCATAGCAAACAGTTTTCTACTTAGGCTGCCTCTCTCCATTCCAATTCCATTTCCAAAAGGACACAACTATTGTGGCTGTTGAACTATTTAAAGTGATTCCATTCCTTACTCACAACAGAGAATGTTCTAAGACCCTAAAAATGTAAAGTGTTGGACATTGTGAAGGCAGTGTCTTTAATGTAACATGAACAGGGTCATTTTGAAAATGCACAGAACTCACTGCCCTATAAAAGAGCACTGGTGGAGATGTGAAGGCTGAACAGTCAAGTCCCAAGCCTTAGGATATATTTCAGTCAATCTCCCACAGCTTCTAAATTAAGCCAAAGACTCTACAATAGTTATAAGCTCAGAATTTTATGTAAGTTGGATCAAGAATACAGTTTTTAGTTATACTCTTCCAAAACACTCATTTATTTATTTTTAATTTTAAAAAATTCTTTGTGGTGCTAGGAATCAAACCCAAGGCCAGACACATACTAGCCTAGTGCTCTATGACTGAGCTGCACCTTGGACTCCCAAACCATTCATTTATTGACTGACTTATTTAACATTCTCTGAAAGAATGCCCGTGGGGTTCTGCAGCCCTGTGCTAAATGCAGAGATACAAAAAGAATATTAATCCCCCTCTCTACCTCCAAATAAATACAAAGATCAGGAAATATCTACCACCCCCAAATACAAAGAACTATTTTTTTAATAAGCATCAATCTATTCTACACACATTTATCTAAAAAAAAAAAAAAAAAAAAAGGGTTTACGTCCTCCACCATTGTAGTGATTCTTTGGCAATAAAAATAAGCTCTTGTTTCTAAAACTGTGAAAAATAATATCAGGTTGTACTGTTTCATTTAAACCTTGACTTTGGCAGTGTTAGGCTGCTTGGAATCAATCAATGCCGAGATGCAGCACGTTAATTGCAACCGAGACAGGAAGTGGCAGGTGTTTCCAACTCTGATGAGCTACAATGAAATTGATGTTTTCTGCATTCTGGAGGCAAATGACAATTCAGCAATGTCTCTCTCTTCCCAGGAAGCAGATTTACAGGCTTTTCCTTCCAAACTGAAAATGGCAGCATGCCCCACCCAGGTGGTTGTTCAGAGAACGACCTTCGCAGGGCAGAGATGGCAGGGGGCAGCTGGGGCCGCCACATGAACAGAGAAAGTGGCCGTCCCTGGATGTGGAGAGCTCAAATGGAGGGGTTGATTGTCAACAGTAGGTTCACGTACAGGGGAAAGTGTACAATTTCACCTACTGTTTATCTTCTTACCTCACTGCTGAGTGGCTTGTAGAAGATTAATTTGCTCCAACAATCGGGAACTATTCATGTGGATGAAAATGTGTTATATGTGCGCTGCTTTAAATACTGAAGTGAACCAAAAATAAATGATTTTTGTGTCTCAGGAATCAAAACATGTTCATGTAGCCTGGGACTGGCCCCTCTGCGGGCAGCATCCATTTCATCTCTTTCTTTTCTCAGTGAAAGAACCTGGACAAAGCTTTGAGCCCGAGTGGGAGTCTATGAATTAAGGTTGGACGTTTGATGACACTGGGGCACCTGGAAGGACTTAACCTGAGTCCCTTCCCATTGGGAGGAGGAGCAATGTGGCTCGCAGGTACATTCTCTCAACAAAGAAAGCTATTCTGCGGGCTGGGACCTGTCCTCACTAGCCTCCCTGTCCCTCTCATCTCCTTACCTGGTAGGGCCTGGTTTTAAATTCCACTCACTCATCAGGAACATTCCCTTCTGCAGGGCTGGCCCCAACCTTCAACTCCTACTCTTTCAGGACCAAGTTTGTTTGGTTTTCTTCGTTTTTTGTTTTTTTTCTTTTCTTAATCCCAGCACGTTTATAGAGGATGTGCAGATAATGCACCGGAATCACTACATCAGTCCCTCAAGGGGTTAGTCCCCGGAGCTCCCTTGCCATTCCACGCTGAGCTCCCCTCCACTGCTTGCAAGCTTTTTGATTAAATATTGGATGGGATTCTCTTTTCCATTGAATATCAATCGGAAATGTACACAGTCGCTCTTGTTTTGTAAACACTGACCTCTTATCACCTTTTTTTTTAAAAAAAAAAAAGAGAGTGAGAGAGAAAGAGAAGTTTTAATATTTATTTTTTAGTTCTCGGCGGACACAACATCTTTGTTGGTATGTGGTGCTGAGGATCGAACCCGGGCCGCACGCATGCCAGGAGAGTGCACTACGGCTTGAGCCACATCCCCAGCCCCTCTTATCACCTTTGATGGAACTTTATAAGTTTTCCTTGGGGCTCATCTGCCCTCTTTCTGCTCAGAAACTACAGAGGCTCGGATTTCTACAGCTGAAGCAGCAGCTGACCACCCCTGAGCCTGTCGGACATGCTGGGTAATTTCATGCTCATACCTTTTCCAGCTCACGTCTAGAAATGAAGAAAAATAGGCATGAATGAGGCACTGGGTTCCGTTCCAGAAACTGGCAGTAAAGAAAGAAGGGAGGGAGGAAGGGAAGGAAGGGAAGGAGGGAAGGAAGAAAAGTAAAACCAGTGGCATGTCCAGGCATGGACTCAAGCCTGTAATTCCAGCGAAACAAGAGGCTGAGGCGGGAGGATTGCAAGTTCAAAGCCAGCCTCAGCAACTTTTCGAGGCCCTAATTAACTCAGCAAGATCCTGTCTCTAAGTAAAAATACGCTACATGGTAGAGCCTTCCTTATGTGTGTATGGGGGGGGTGTGTGGGTTTGGGGATATGCTGAATGGCTAAGCTTCCCTGGGTTCAATCCCTGGTACCCCCCCAAAAAAAACAAAAACAAAAACAGTGGCATCACGGCTCCTCCAGGAAGCCCCTGGATCTTGATCATAGCAATAGCTACAGAGAATTCGGCTCTTCTTGCCTATGGGTGCTGTAATAAATTCTGCAAGTGCATTTATCCCATCTAATCCTGAAAGCAAAATCTTTAAGATAGGCATTATCCCTGTTGTTTTTTTTTTTTTTTTTTTAGAGGATAAGACTGAGACACAAAGATGTCCAGGCATTTATGTAAGGTAGTCAGACTCCAAAGTGGTGACTGGAACCAGCTGTCAGCCTCTGGAGCCTGAACCCTTGTCCACCAGGCTGCACGGTTTTGCTGTGTCCCCACCTAGACTCAATGCCTTGTGCTTACCTGCTCCTTCCCTTTCTGTCTTAGGTTCCCATCACCACTCCACCCCCACCCCCCACCCCCTCCAGCATACTAGTGCCCGGTCTACTCAGGGTAAATATGGGAATAGAAGCCAAACCTGTTATTTCATGTGGTATTTTGTTTTACCTTCTATGCCATATTTATATACTCTTGAACATGGAAATAATCACTCAAAACATAAAGTTACCTAACTCTGCCAACTCTAAAAAAAAAAAAAATCTTTCAATAAACACCATATTCCAGGGAGATGCCTCTTAGGTGATCAAGTACTCTGGGCCCAGTCATGAGCCTTGGGGATACATCAGGCTAAAATTAAGACACAGACCCAAGTCCCAAGGCCAAGAACATAGGGCCAAGGGTGGGAGAGAGGAAAGATGTGAAGGGAGAGTTTGGGGCATCAGCTGAGAGTGAGGTGAGGTGGTTCTGCAGGACTTTAAGGGACTATGCAGAGGGGGAAGAGGAGCCTGGAGGGTCAGGGCAGGGCAGCAGTCATTGGGAAACAGCCCTCCAGATCTGCTGTGACCCTAGAGCAAACAGCCTGATACTGGGCATCTGTTCCCCAACACCAGTGGCATAAGACTTTGATTCCCTTCCCATCCCCAGAATACAGAATGAGTCCATAATAATTTGGGGAAGTAAATGTAAACAAAATAAGTGTGTAGTTTGAAAATAAATCAATAGCTCCAGGGGAAAAAGATCAACAAGTATGCTCATTCTAAACAGTAACCCTGGCTAATCATGTTAATAACCCAGGGCTCTCGGTGCAGCTGGGCAACCGCTCCCTGGGTGGCACTGGACATCTCAACACTCAGTGGAGCTTCAGAGTCTTTAGCTGTGAAAGGGGGATGGTCCTGCCCTCCTCCCACAGTCCTGCCCTTGCTCAAGGGTTCCTCAAGAGAGACAGTCTGCTGTATGTTGGCTCCAATTTTAAAATGGGAATGGCTAGAGCTGTAATTGGAATAGCTGTGGTGAGTCAACTCCCAACAGCAGAATCAGAAAATGACACTTCCAGGTCAGAATGGGCAGTTTCTACTGGAGGAGATCTAAGTGGTAAGCCAGGCCAACAGGTGCCACTTCTTCAGTGCTGTGTTCTCTATGATGTCACCCAATGCACCAATCTGCACGTGAATCTCTCTGGGGACCGTCTCTCTGGACTGGCCTCTGTTGACCAGGTGTCCAGTCTCTTGCATGCCCACTGACCAAGAGTGTTTCAAGTCTTCAAGTCTTGGTTCCACTTCATTGCTAGAGGTCATACTTGTAACTTTCTTCTCTTAAAGAAACCATCTGAGGTCTGAATAGCTTTAGTATCTGCCCCAGCAAAGATGGGAGTGTAGAATCTTGCTGGTCACATAAGTCTGGAGAGGAAGGTAGATAGGATAAGCCGATAAGAAGACCTGGCTCCCAGATCACATTGACCTGGGAAGGCTCAGGGGAGAGGACAATCAAGACCTCAGGGGTGACCTCAGTGGCCAGTGGCAGGAACCACACACCAATAGAATCACTGGGGCTCCAGGGGTTCCTCTGTGCGTGCCTGGCTGGGTCTGAAGTGAGTCACACATGCATCCTTCTGTCCCTAAAATCTCAGCCAGCTGGGCAACTGCTCCCTGGGTGGCACTGTTGCTGTTCCCTGGTGTGTTCTCCGTTTCTCTGCTAGATGATACTCAGGTATTGATCTGGAGGCTTTGCCTCTATGGCTGGTACTCAGCTGTCATACTCACAGGAAGGAATCCTACTGACTGTTCTTAGGAGACTTTAAAGGGTAGGTAAGCAGGTCATCGGTTTCAAAGTATTTGGGACGCATCCCTTCATGGCTGGATCAAAGGCTGTCTTGCATCATCCTGTGTGACCCTCAAACACATCCCCCTCCAAAAATATAAAAAATAAAATCCCACTCTCCGTCCACTGTGCTGCCAATAAACTAAAGTCTTCTGATTTCCTCCTGCCCCATGCCTTCCTTGCCCACCAAGAGAAGTCCTGGCTCTTCTACCCCAACCTCACCATCCAGGCTGCCTTCGCCCAGGCAAGTAGGACTCCTGTAGGGCATGCTCACTGACCGCCCTTCAAAGGCCACTACTAATATTCCAGAGTCCCCAAGGGGAATGTGCCATGAGGCTTCTCACTGAAGACCCCTCCAGTCCAGGGCCTTTCATTTCTCACACTGCTTTCATCCTGAGAGCACACCTTGCTTTCAGGTGATCAAAGAGGTCCCCAGGAGGCTCCGCCAGGCTTCCCTCTCCCCTTCCTGCTTTGATGTGGTCCAACAACCTCTGATTATTGATTGGGATCTAGAGCTTTTGTAAAACCCTCATAATGTAGGGATCCCATCTTGTCCCTCAGATGGTGTGTTAGTTTCCTATGGCTGCTGTAACAAAGGACACAAACTAGGTGTCTTCAAACAGCAGAAATTAATTTTCTTACAGTTCTGGAGGCTAGAAGTCCAGAACCCAGGTGTCTACTGAGCAGTATTTCCTCAAGACTCCAGGAAAGGAGCCTACCCTGCCCCTTCCAAGCATTTCCTTGGCTTGTGGCTACATAACTCCAGTGGCCATCTCCTTCCTGTATGGTTTCCCGTTATCTTCCCTCTGTGCATGTCTGTGTCCAAATTTTCTGCTCCTAAGAACACCAGTCTTATTGGGTCCAGTGTTCACCATATTTCGGTATGACCTGACTTGTTATTGTATTGAGTAATTACACCTTCAAAGATACTGTTTCTGAATAAGGTTATACTCTGAGGTACAGGAGTTAGGACTTAACTCATTCTTTTTAGGGGACACAATTTAACTCATAACAGAAGTATTCAAATTCAGAAAAGATACTTTTTCTAAAGTGAAAGCCTCTTTCAGTTTGAGTTGTACCTTAATTTGTTTTGAGAGAATTGTTTTGCCTCTCTCCTTAGCTTTTAACTACGCCACAACAACATCAAAATCACAGTCAAATAAAAACAGAATGCCAAAGAAAAGTTGACAGATACATGACAAATAGCAACTACATACACATTATGAAACCTGCCTAAATGGAGCAACTACATGCCAATTTTCTCTCCATTATCTTGGTACTGTCTTTTACTACTCCTTTAATGGTTACCCTAGAGATTGCAGCACGATTCTTGATTTATCAAAGTCCAATATTAATTGTTCTTTCGTGTCTTCCCAGACAATGCCTGGACCTTAAAACACTTAATTCCATTACTCATTTATTTGAATGCTTCTGTTTTTGTGTATTTTAATTTGATTTATGTATTTTAAAACCTAATAAGACTTTATTTTTGTTATTTCACATAGTTACTATGCTTTTAGATTTGCCCATGTGTTACCCTCTTATTTGTTTTCTACTCTTGCCTGTGTCACCAAGCTTCCACCTGCGATGATTTTCCTTCTGTCATATGCTTTAGTGTTTCCTTTTGTTTAGGTCAGCTGTTAACGATTTTTATCAGTATTTTTTTTTAACTGAAAATTTCCTAATTTTCCCTTCATCTACACTCTTTTTTTTTTAAGAGGCCCAAAGCAAAGTGAGAGGGAGCTTCCTGGGAGTCTCTTCAGCTTGGCAGTACCTGAAGTTTTGCCTATTTGGTGAGAGTGGCAGCTGCCCTGCTCAACCTCTCGGTTTCTCTCCTTAAATAGGTAGATGGTCCTGGGGAAACTGTCCCCATATGATGGGTTCATATCTCCAGGGTTCCCCCTTGGCCCTGAACATTTTATTGCTTTCCAATGCTCTCAAGTTGATTTGTTTTACATGTTGTTCAGCTTTTCCAGTTATTCTCAGTGGGTCGGTTGGTCTGTGTAACAGTCTGATAATACAGAAGTTGAATATCCATTTCCCATCCATCTGTTTAGGACTATCTCTGGAAGCTGCCATGCAACACTTTTTGCTTACATCCTATTGGTAAGAAGGTGGTCATGTGACTAAACCTAGCTGGAAAACATAGTCTTTAGTCTAATACAATAGGAGACTAGCATCTTAATTAAAATTTGTGGATTGTATGGCTATTTGGGAGGGCACATCCTAGGGGCCATAGTATTAGTATTTCAGTTATTGGCTATGTGTGACCTCTCACAAGTTATTTAAACTCTCCAAGTTTCAGATTACTTGTCCATAAAAATGGAGATGATGATAGTATCACTTATGAGTCTTAAGTGAGATACTTGTGACCAGTATCTATTGAGCTCAGATTTACCTGTTAGGCATTGAGCTAAGTAATTTATGTATACTAAATCTCTTGGTCCACCCAACAACCTTATGAGGTAAATATTCATTTTATGATTAGAAAACCGAGCTACAAAGAGGTTAAGGAATTTGCAGAAGTGTATATAGATATTCAGCTGCAGAATGAACCCATATCCATTACCACCACATGATCTTGCCTTATGAGTCACAAAGCCTGGCTGTTGGAATTATTGAGGGAAGATGTCAGGGCCAGGACGGAAACATTGCTTGGTGGCTGAAGGCAGCAAAAGCTAGCTAGAAACATGATCTCCTAAAGGAAGAACTGGTGACAGGACTGGTCTAGGTTAAGACCTGTGGACTTTTGAGTGACAGAAAGTTAGAAAAGGGAGTTTAGTAGGGATCTTAGGGGGCATATCATCCGGGGCTTCATTTTTTAATATTGTTTTGTGGTAAATTAGTAAATTTTTATTAAATTACAATATGCATGCAGAAATTTGCCCAAATTATCAAATGTGTACCCATTAATTTTCGAATTAATATATCCCTGCAGCCAATAGTCAGACCAAGAAACAGAACATGAGCTCCCATAGCCCCCCTTGTGCCCTGCACCCCATCACTATCTCAACTTCCAACGTAAATTTGTTTTGCCCATTTAAGAATTTATGAATAAAATGATAGTTTGTGTTCTTTTGGGTCAGTTTTTTTTCCACTCAACATTATATTGTAAGATACACTCTATTGCTGCAAATTATTCATTCTCATTACTGTGACTATCACCGTCATTCAGCTGTTAGTAGGCATTTGAATGGTGTTACTATGAACTTTCTAAAACACGTATCTGGATTCATTAATAGACTCATTTTTATGTCTATAACCTAGGATTGAAATTGTTGCTCACAAGGAATGTGTGATGTTCAGATTTACATTTTGTATGTGTGTTCGCACGTGTGCATGCGCTGGGAATCCAACCCACAGCAGGGCATATGCAAGACAATTGTTCTACTGCTGGGCTACATGCCTAGGCCCCTAATGTTCAGCTTTAGCAGTTACTGCCTTGGTTTCCTCTTACCAATGATGGAAAGAAAAGTGCAGAAAGGGAAGAGGTATATTCCAGATCTCCTAGTTATTGAACTAGGATCAGAACCTGGGATTATTCTTACCCAGTGCAATTTATCTAGGCCTAGGCTTCAAGAAGAGGTTGGCCTTTGAGATTCAGAAGAACTTCACAGCATCACACATTTAATGTATAAGCTATCCTTGTAATTTTATCTAACCCTCGGATGGGATGAAACCAACAACCAGCTGACTGGTGGGGCCATAATTGGAAACACTTATTTAGATGAAGGGAACCCGTGCAAGTTCTCCTCTGCATCTTATGGAAGAACAATGTGTGCTATGTGTCTCTAATTAAGCAAGATTTAGATTTGGTACCAGGCCCTGGGTAAGGCACTTTGCCATGGATTACTTCACTTTATCTTCTGCACAAAACCCACATCAAGTCATATCCATAAAGATTCTAAAAGCATATGTCCAAAGAGAGTATAAGAACTCTAAGCAAACAGGAGCAACATAGAACAGTGCATGTCAAAGGATGTATGGTAAAGGTCCAATCTGGCAAAAACAAATATTTTTGTAAAATGCCATAAAAAAAGGATTATTAGAAAATGAAATGAAGATTTTCAGAATGTAAGCTTCCAGTTTTAAATTCTTAGATTAAACAGACATAGAATTGCATTGTTAAGTTGCTCTCAAAGTTTCTAAAACCACAATTTCTGTATTTATATATTTGCAGACCAATAACAGGATCTGGATCAACATTGGTTTATAGACTGCACTTCAAGTAAAACAGATTTACAATTCACCATCCATTCCCCATTAGCCTTTCAAGAGATTAATAATTATCTTAGAGGCAGAAATGTTTTAGAAAGCAAGATATATGCATAATATTGAGACCTGGGAAACCACTAAAATTCGTGGAGTTTACTGCCTACATTTATAGACTTTATCATTCCTTTGACTTTATTCCAAAAACCTCTTGACCAGAGAAATAAAATTTGCAAATAATTTGATTGTTCAAGAACTTCCCCCCAGTTCTCACTGAAATCAACATAAAACCCATAAACTTTTCAATGGATACCATTAAAACGACTGTTTACTCTCTGAGATTCTTTGAAAGCTTCACCTTGTGTCCACTGACCCTAAACAAACTTATCATGATCCTTGGCCAAACCCATTGCAAGGCCAGTTTTGAAACCTGATGCATATCCCAATTTGTCTTCCTTTCCTGTTGCTGTGTAGTCTGCCAAGGAGGGTCTCCCCTTATCACTGTGCACAGGAAGTACAGCTCAGCCTTCTCCACAGCTTGTTTTACAGGTGTTTTCTGGGAGCCAGGTTTCAACAGCCAACACTCTGTTCTTCCTTTCAGTTTTTCTCTGGGGTTTTCAAAGTTTAGTGAAAATCATAACAATTAGCCAGGAAAGTCGTATACATAAGAGCACTGGTGAGCAACTTAAGGGATCTCCATGGATAATCTTGATTATGCCATATTTAGGACCTAAGCCCTACATGCAGATATCAGCAATCTGTGAAAGAGAACCATAGAATGTTAGAACCAGAAGTATCCCAGCTGCGCTGAAATCACCCCCTGTGATCTACTTTTTAAAATACTTATCCTTTGATTTATCCTCAGATTTATTGAATCAGAATTTCTGGAGATGGACTTTTTAATTTTTTTTTTTTTTAGAGAGAGAGAGAGAGAGAGAGAGAGAGAGAGAGAGAGAAAGAATTTTTTAATATTTATTTTTTTTAGTTTTCGGCGGACACAACATCTTTGTTTGTATGTGGTGCTGAGGATCGAACCCGGGCCGCACGCATGCCAGGCGAGCGCGCTACCGCTTGAGCCACATCCCCAGCCCCGACTTTTTAATGTTCATAGTAAACTCCCAGAGCATTGTGAGTCCCAGTCAGGGGATAGAGATCAGATTTTGAAGATGTCCTTATGTTTCTGATAATCTGGACAAAAACGATTAACGATGTAATCAAAATATAATTTCATTGCAGCTTCCCACCATCTCTAAAATTGTAAGGAGGGGATGTAGACATTTTCCCAGGTCAGCAGACATCCTGACTCTGTTGCTTTCTGCTAGGTAAGAGGTACCAATTAAAGTGTAATTTTTAAAAAAGGTAAAATTATGACTCTCAAACAAAAATAAAATGAACCTATACTCTGCTGAGGCTCTACTGACCATCTTGTTTGTTAGATATTTGTTCTACTCAGGAATTGCTGCTTGTCACTTTGCTGATTAGGCCAGGTTAAATGGGTATGCTATTAGAAAGCTTCACTAAGCCTCTTGAGAAGGAAAAAAACTGCTGGATCTGCAGGGACTGCAAGTGGGGGCTGGGGAGAGATTTAGGTCCAGGTAGTCACTCCCACTCAAGGGCCTCAGGAACACTTTTCTTTGCTCCCTTCATTCTGTCCACTCATTAGCATGCCAGTGGCTAAAAACCTGCACCCCACTTTAGACTGCAGGATCACCTGCCAATTTTCAATTTCTGACAATAGTTGATCCAGTTTAGAGTCTTGATTCAGTTTATTCAGCCTAGAGCTCTTGGTGAGATGGCCCAGGTTTAATCAACCGTAGCTTGAGGGCTGGGGAGGAAACACAGCTGCCAAGTGTGTTTTTGAGAGGCAAAAACAAGAGCTCAAATGAGAACTTAAGGTGGGCAAATGCAATACAGTGTGCCTTTGGATCATTTCCAGTATGAGTTCTTGAAACATGTTTTGTGTGACTACAACCCTGTTATTCCAAGTGAGCATGGTGGTCACCCTACCACTTTTACTTTGGCAGGATAAGTTGCCCTAAGGGAGATGGTGTCTGAGGAGCCCATGGTTTGCACTTTCCCCATGCAGGTTCCCACCAACATTTAAGATCCTCCTTTGTACAAGCCATTGAGCTGCTAGAAACATGGTTGTCCTGCAAGAATAAGCCTGGGCCCTACCTTCATGTACTTCCAACTTCTCTTGGATGGGAGAAGAGAAGGATGATGGCCCTGGATAAATCCAGATAACACTGGTGATGCCCAGTTTGATGGGACCTAAACACATTTTGGTCCACTCCAGTTATTTCTTCCAGGACCTGGCTCGCTTTGTTACATTAAGTCAATACTTGGGCTAATTTTATAAGAAGCAATTCAGGAGAAGAACAAGCGCCTCCAAGCAGCTGGGAGACAGAGTAACAGAGTTGGTTTGGTTCAGATCCTGATTTGTGCTAGGATGTGTGCTGGGTGCAGTCTTCCAGGTTCCAGCACTTCCAGCCAGGAGAGTTATACATACACCCAAACTGATAAGGCCACAAGTCCTGCGGCATGGGGCAGATTCGGGGGATCCTCCCTGCTCGGGCCAGCCTAGGGGCGCAGGCCGGGCCGGGGTGCGGGCCCCAGCGCACAGCTCCTTCCAGGGCGGAGGGCGGCGCGAGGGAGGGAGCGAGGGAAGGGAAAGGCGAGCGTGAGCTGCCTCAAATGCTTGGAATAATTCCGCTTCCGTTTGGAAAGCCGCAGCCTCAGTCCCGCCGCCTCCGCCCAGCTCCAGCTCGGCGTCCCGCTCGGCCCGCGGCTGCCCGCTCCGCCGCCATGGCTACCTCCCCGCAGAAGTCGCCCTCGGTCCCCAAGTCCCCCACTCCCAAGTCGCCCCCGTCCCGCAAGAAAGATGACTCCTTCTTGGGGAAACTCGGAGGGACCCTGGCCCGGAGGAAGAAAGCCAAGGAAGGTAAGTGCGGCGGAGCCCGACGGCCTGCAGGGGCCGGGGGCCTGGGGGCCGGGGCGCCGGGGCTGGGCGGGAGCGCGCGGCGGGTGCCCGGCGCGGTTGGGCGCGCAGCGAGGCGTGCGCGCGCTGCCTGGAAGTCGGCGGGAGCTAGACGCACCCCGCACTGCGGCCCTGCGCGGGTGGGTCTCGGAGGCCCCTCTTCCCGCCGCCTCCCGGATGCTGCTCTCCAGGGCTTGGGGCCAGGCGGACGCCTCCGCTGGGCCGAGGGCGGGCGCCGCGTGGCCTCGGGAGGCGACAGGACCCAGAGCTCGGGCCGGACCCAGCCCCATCCCGTAGGCAGCGTCCTCCAGTGGGCCCGTGTCCCCGCCCTCCCAGCGCCCGAGGGCTGGCATTGACCAAGTTTCTACTGAAACTTTCCGGGCGCCGTCATTCTCTCTCTTTGCCTTCATTGGTCTTTAAAATCAGGTCGTTTGGACTTGCTGAAGTCCTCTTGTAGCAGCGAAGCAGCGTTGGCCTCTTTGGCTGTTTTCTACACCCCCAGGGCTCTGTTAATGGAGTTGATCAATATCAAATGTTTGTTGAATGAATGAGTGAAGAACTGGCTGTCCTAGCGGTACCGCGGGGGTAGTAAATGATAAACTTGAAACTCTGACTCGAGAATACCCGGGTTAGATACGAACTTGGCATCATGAGCCGTGACCCTGCTGTGAACTCAGACATTCAGGGACTTTACAAACCACATTTTCTTTTTTTCCCCACCGTGGTGAAATTAAGGCGATCTTCCCCCCGCCCTCCTCCCCAGGATATAAGATAATTTTATCCTGTGGGTAGAATTTGCATCCTGGGTTTTGATTTGGAAAATGAGGCCGCATTTCTTAAGAAGCATTCTAGTGATTGACAGATGCGTGGGTAGAGGTTGCCGGGTTAAAAAGTTTTGAATACATTGCTCAGTGGACTGGAAATAACCTTTCTGAAAGCTGTGACGTTGAGATGTAAATGAGTTATGTTCTTAACTTTTTTTAAAGCATAAAAACCAATTTCAGTGTTGAGAATTAGCTGGACCCAAAAACTAGACCTCTGTTCCCTAGGTAAACGTAAGCAGCAGCAAAGCACATGCCCACAATTTTCCTCAATTTTATCATGTTCTCCCTTATCCACAGGTGGTATGTTCCAAGACCCCCAGTAGATGCCTGAAATCATTGATAGTACCAAACTCTATATCAACTGGTCTTTCATATATATATATCTTGACAAAGTTTAATCTATAGGCTAGGCACAGTAAGATGTTAACAATAATGACTAAAATAGAACAGTTATTTATATTGTAATACAAGTTATATGAATGTGGCCTTTCTCAAAAAGTCTTATTGTATTTACCTGCCCTTCTTATGATGGTGTGAGAAGATACACTGTCCATGTGATGAGATGAAGTGAGACCAGTCACATAGGCATCGTGATTTAGTTAGACTACTAGGTGGGGGTTAATTTAATACAGGTCTTGCAATACTGTGACAGTGGATCTAACAATTGAGCCAGTAACCAAGGTGACCACTAAGTGACGAGTGGTGGGTAGCATATGCAGTGTGGATACGTTGGACAAAGGGATGATTCATGTCCCAGGCAGGAGGGGGAGGGGTCAGGCACTAGATGTCATCATGCTATTTGGAATGGTGTACAGTTTCAAACGTATGAGTTGTGTAGTTGGAATTTTCCACTCATGGTGTGCAATTTAAAATTTATGAACTATTTCTGGAATTTTCCGTTTAACAGTTTCTAACTGAAGTGGACCACAGGTAACTAAAACCACAGAAAGTGAAACTAAGGATCAGCAGGGAATGCTGTGTTTTGGCAGACCTTTTGTTAGTGTACAGTTGGTGGCAAGTCATAAAATCTTGGCTTGGAAAGCCCTTTTCTAGGCTGCATTTCTAATGTTTTCTTACAGGGTTCCTAATAGGGGCTCATCTAGCTTCAGACTGGGCAACTCAGAATTACTGAGGACTCACCCTATCTTTAGCAACTATGGGAAAAGTTTCCATTTAGCCAAAACGTGTTTTTTTTTCTGTACCTGCTACTCTCTGTGGACCAGGAGAGTAAGTTTGACAGTGTCCAGTTAACCTTCTCAAAGAGACTGTGCTTTCTGGAGTCTTCCCTTGGCCAGGCCAAGCATCCCCTCCCTATTGGAGCTGTTCTGCATAGACATGACCTTAAGGCTTTCTGGCATCCTGTCCCTTCAGTTGCATTCAGAGTCCCTGCAGGAAACAGAAGGCCAACTTAGTTGGGATTTTGAAAATAATTAGTGAAGGGATTATTTATAGAGCTGTGGGAAGGTTAAAGGAAGCAAAAGGGATGCTGAGATGCTGAGGGGCTAGCAATAGGAGGAAGCTGTTACCACCTCAAGGCCTGAAGGGACGAGGGAAGCAAACTGGAAACTGTGAGAAGCTGGAGCTGTGGAAGAGAGGTTGTTCACTAGGACTGTCATAGCAAAAGGACATAGCTACTGCCAGAAAGAGGGAGAGAATGGTACACAAAAGGCATGTTTTCTTTCTTCTTGCCCTTGAATCTATTCAACGCTGAACCTAGTAGGAAGCTGCCCGGGCAAGGGAATTTGGGTACAGCAATTTGTAGGGGCCAGCTCCTGCATATTCTTAAGCAAAGATTAGACCACAGAGGGAAGTGGAGGGAGATGGTGAATACCTAGCAGACGCTGTCAGAGTGAGCTGCCCAGAAGTCTACATAGTACAGTAGTCAAAGCCACCCGGCTCCGAATGGAACAGGGCTGTCGCCTCCCTTATTCTAACATAGACAATATTCTATTAATGCAGCCAAGGGTGCTTTTTCTTTACTCTGGGAACTATATCACACAATCTCTTATCGAACTTGTTATCAGCTTAGTCAAAGGGATTTTTATATTTGTTGCTTCTTATCCATGCCCTTCCCTATCATGGATTCACTCTATTAGGTTTTTGAAACCAAGTGCAAAGTCTTTGTTTTGTCCCTATTATACTTTTTTTTTCCATTTTGTTGTTTTGTTTTACTTTTTAATATTGAAGGTTGAACTCGGGGTCTTGTGCATGCTAGACAAGTGCTCTACCACTGAGCCACATCTCCAGTCCAATAATTCCTATTTCTTGGTGTTGTTCCTTGTTATACTTAACTATAATGTCCTGATTCTGTCATTCAGCCTTTTAGGTGATACAGAGGCCTTACATGGACGAATGGGAGAGCTCACGGCTTCTAGTGGGGCTGGCCACCACCCAGCTGTAGCTGCTTGCTGCTGCCTGGGGGTGGGTCTATGAGTCAGTCCAAGAAATTAGTGGGGCTGGTGGGAAATGACTGTTCTTAGTGTGGGCTGGGTCTCTGTGAGCAGGGCTGCCCCTATCAAGGGCCCACTAACATCACTGCAATAACAGTAAGGCTGGCTCTTGCTCGGCATCCTGCATAAGCTCACAGTTCTGTGCTTTGATGACTATGCCTTCTTCCACTTTCCCCATAGTGTTCTAGAACCTCTCATTCTTCATGATTCCTCAAGATCACTGATATCCGTACGTCTGCAAGTTATCCCAGTGCTTTGACATAGGATTCTCCTGGGCCCAACAACTCCCTTTCACTCATTGATGCCTGCTGTGTTCCCTCAGTATAAGAAACAAAGAGTGGAAAGACATAATACATGTTAGGCACTTTAGGTCCATAATTTCATGTAAAATATGTGTTTCTATAGATATTTAATACATATATCATAAAGTAATTATGCCTCATAAGAATACATTATTTCTCTATTTTTATTTTTAATTTGTTTATTTTTTGCAGGGTTGGGAATGGAACCCAGGGCCTTGCCCGTGCTAGGCAAGCACTTTATCACTGAGCTACATCCCCAACCTTCATATAAAAATACCTTAAACAAATACTGATTCTTGCATTTTAGTAAGAAAAAGTAGTGTTAGGCAAGAAAGAATTGGTAATTCAAGGCATAGTCTTTAAGATCAGACGTGTTCGGGTTGATTTCTGCTCTAGCCTCTTATTGATTGCTGTAACTTAGGACAAGTTCCATCAAATCTCTAAACTTCTGTTTCTTCACCTGTGACATGAAAATAAAAATTGCATCTTTACATGGAAGTTGTTTGGGCTAGAATGAGATAAGAACATGTAATGTACATTGCATGGCACAAATAATGGTAGCTTATAAAATTGAGAACTCAATTTTAAAGAGTCCTTGGAATTTGAAATAGTCTTTTTATTATAGACTGCAGAAAGGTTTATAAATTCTATAAATAGCCAAGTAGCCCGAGACTGTGAGGAACCTGTGTGGCACTATTTGGTCCCTTTAGAGACAAAGGGGCCTTTTATTTTTTTGCAAATCAGATCCTCCCCTTAGCCAAGGTGTCACATTCTGGCATTTCAGAGGATCCAGGCCCACTCTCCTGAGTTGTAGGAGGTGGCTTTAGTTTTTCTTCTATGGATCTTCTCCTTTGGGTTTCCAGTCTCCATCTGTTGGTGCCTGGACTGATCACTTGGACTCAACTTGCCAGAGGGTCACTTTTCATCTTTCTTGCTCCTAATACTTGCTCTTTCAGGACATCATCTTGACTTAAGTGCCAGCTGAATGTGTCCCAAATTAGGTCAGGAGCTGTGGGCACTGTCTTTACCCATTTAGTATGTTCTTAAGAGTTTTGCATTTTGCTCAGGACCTAATGAGGGCTTTAATGTCATTATAATAATGATAATCATAAATTTTATTTCAGTTCTGGGATCAAACCTAGACCTCACATGTACTAGGCAAGCCCTGAACCACACCTCCAGCCTTAAAGTCTTAATTCTTTTAACAATACTAGCATCTACCCCTGGATTCTGACTGGCTGGCCAGCGTTGCTGAGGAAACTCCCTGATCCGTGCAATGGATGTTTGGTCTGTAGAACGAGCAAGTCCCCAGCACTGCACAGCAGTCTGTGCTTCTTTCCTGCTCAGTTTCACTCTCATTTTCCAAAGTGCCTTCTCCAGAGCCTTGTCACTCCAGTCCTTCCCTGGACTTTGAGACAGAATATTGAGGGTCAGGTTTGAGTGACTTCATGTTCCCTTCACTCTGTCCAGTGCTACCCAGATCTACAGCTCTGCTTTCATGCTTTCTTCCTGTCCCAGACCCTTCTGAGGAGGTCCCTTCTCCTTTCCTTTTAGCCTCCTCCCAGACTGGGGATAACCAGATGCCCTATTTCTCATATCCCCAGTCTTTTTCTTGTTGCTCTCCCTAACATTTGATTTTGTTAACTTGCTTTCCCATTCAGAGAAAACCTTATGTTGGCTTCCTCTTCAAGTAAACCTCAGAGATCTCTAAAGGGTTGTCTGTTCTTGCTTCTCCTTTCTCATCTCCTAATCCCTTTTCAATCCAGTATTCCCATTTTTTCCCCCTCCAGTTACTTCTGCCAGGCACTGTGTTGGGTGCGAAAAGGAAAACGGACACAAATGCCTGCTGTGGAGCTTATGTTCTAATGGAAAAGTCATGGTAACAAGTTGGTAGGGCTGGGGTTGTGGCTCAGAGGTAGAGTACTTGCCTAGCACGTGTGATGCATTGAGTTCGGTCCTCAGCACTACATAAAAAAATAAATAAAATAATGTTGTTAAAAAAAAAAAGCAATAAGTTGTTAAAGTGTACGTATTTTGTCAGAGTGGCGATTGGTGTTCTAGAACAAAATAAGGCAGGAAAAAGGAAATATTGCTGTGGGAAGAGGGGTGGTTGGGGGTTTGAAATAGGATGGCTTGCAAGGGCCTCCCTGGGAGTGGTGTGCCTGAGTCAAGTCCTGCAGGATTGAGGGAGAGTCTTTGCATTGTGGATATGAACCTTGCAGTTGGAAAGAGTGGCAGATTCAAAAGACCCTGAGCCAGGAGTGGCCCTGGTGTGTTATCAAGGACCAGCAAGGAGGTCCCCGTGACTAGAGGAGAGAGAAAGCACACTTGTGGAAGGGAGAGAGGTTCCCAGCGAATGAGAGTGAGATTGGGCAGGGCTCTGGAAGCCAGCGTAAGGTGTGGGCCCCTGCTCAGAGGGAAATGGGAAGGCTTGGGAGAGTTCACACAGTAGAAACATGGCCTCGCTTCTATTTCAATAGGCGCTCACTGATAGTGTTCAGTGACTGAAAGCAAGCAGGTGTGGAAGCAGGGAGACGAGTCAGGGGGCTCAAAAGTGGTGGTCTAGAGCAGGGTGGTAGCTGTGGAAGGGGTGAGCATTGAATTCTGGAAGTAGTTTGAAGATTCTGAAGATAGGAGTTACTGAAAGATTTGGGTGGAAAATGAGAGAGTGGAATCAAAATGATTCCAGGGGTTTGAGTTTGAACACCCAGAAGGATGGAATTAATTTTAACTGGGATGGAGAATCCTGCCGGACAGGCTGGTTTGGGGAGGAAGAGATGGAGCTGGATTTTAGATCTATCTGGTTAGGGGCCTGTTGTGCTTCCAAGCAGAGGTGATGAGTTTGCAGTTGGTCCTGCAAATCAGGGGAGGGTCTGGAGATATAGGTGTGCAGAGCTGTATTTAAACCCCCAACACCGGGACCATTGAGCATGAATAGAAAA